TATATATATATATCCCACTCTGGGGTTGAGGTGAAGAAAATAACTGTGTTGTGACCTAAATAACATGCTGTTGCTATCTCCAGAAAGTATTAAAGCATGAAATCCCGCATTTTTAATGTACGAACGCATCCTGTATCATAACTACATGTGTGCCGTTTGTAACAAACCAAACCTCGTGAAAATCAGTTGAAAATTCAGTGAGTTATTCTATTTGATTGTGCATACAGCTCCTTCCTCAATAGAAGTGAATGCACTGTGGCGGCGAAGCGAGACCCATCCAAGATGGCGGCCGGCGAGGACGCTCTCAGGCAGTCGATGCGGCGTCTATGTATATATGTCTATAGCTGCAAGCGCCTGCTGGAGGTGCTGCAGCGAGATGCCAGCGACCTGAGCGACCGCTGGCGCTCGTGACGCTTTTGGTGTGAATGCACTTGCGTTTCAAAAGATCGACTCTGTTTCGAGCAAACTGGCTCGAGCAACACCACTAGTTATTTGCCAACCGCCAATAAACAGTAGAAGAAGACGAGAAGACGCAAGTTTACATGACAACGGAGACGGTGCCGTTTCCACTCTTCATCTGGGACGAACCACCACCATTCACATCATGAAGTCAATACTTGTGAGTTTGCTGTCTCTGGCTGTCTGGAGCGTTACAGGTAGGCTACGTGACATTCCTTGACGTTCTCTTTTGAAACTAAAGCCCCTTTTCCACCGCAGGGACTTTTCTCATTTACCACCGATATTACCCGGGTGGGTACCGAAACCCGGTATTAAATTAGCCCCGCCGGGGCTAAATGATCAAAGGCCGTAGTATTGATAAGCACTAACGGTATCGGTTCATCTGTGTCGGCGCTGATCCCCCCCCCCCCCAACCAAACACACGCACACACGTCTACACGAGTCACGGTAACCGGTGAACAGCTGAGCGGCCCCGGTGGAAACAAAGTGAAGATAACTCAAAAATGATGGCGAGTTGACGGCAGCTATACTCGTTACTGTAAGTGACATTAACCCTTAGCGAGTAAGAAGCCAATACTTTATCAATACACGTGTTCTGCAAGCATGAACACGTAAACATGTAGACAGTGATATTCAGTATGCTTCGCCCACAGTCTCTCATCCACGTTATGTCTTACACAAGGACAGCACGCTAGTTCAGCTGATAGTGAATTGTTACTAATAAGCTCAAATGACAGATGTCTGTATGTAGACTAACTTAGTTTGACACTTATCTTAAAATACTTTTAAACTTAGCTGCTGGGTGAGAGGGGCGCTAACCAAGATGACGCTCTGAGTGGAAGCTTTCTGCTGAGATCCGCAAACCGAACTGTTTTCCACATAGGTTAAGTGTGAACAACGATACTTTTTGCATTTATTTGGGTACCACGTCTGTCCGGCCGTCGTTGGGTTACCTCTGCTGGTAACATGAAACCTCAAGAGAAGAGGAAGAACGACTCCCGAAAATCGCTAACTAGCATGAGTGCTAACTTGACTAGCAAGACTGCTAACAAATCTGCTACTACAGCGCCCACCGAGCAAGCAGATATCCAAGCGATCCAAATGAAGCTCGTGCACTGTTGCCAACTCCTCAGTAAGAAAAGTAGCTATTGGCTGTCCTAAAAGTCGCTAGAACTCGCTAAATGACGTCATCGCCTAATTTGCATAATTGTCCATATGCATGTAATTGTAATGGATGCTGTAGGAGAGAGGAATAACATCGTGGGAGACAAAAACTGAGTAAAAAAACACCCTGAATATGTTTAGAACTACAAATGAACCTTTTTTCAGTGATTTATATTAGGCAAAGAAAATTTTACATTTACATCCCGCCCTGACTGTAAACCAGGTCGGGATCAGAGCGATAGATCAGCCAGCGGC